AGGAATGCCTTTTTCACCCTTTTCTCCTCTCCCAAGTATACCCTGCAACATTCAAAATACTTTGTTTAAACAAGATGCTCACTGAAGTTTGCCATAAATTTTATTTTTTGTGCATGTTTATTAAGTTGTGTGTATATTAGGTTAATGGTTCTTGTTTCACTTGCTAGGCTCAATCACTGGGCCTTATTTCATACAGCACTTCTAGCAGTGCCTACATAGCTTCAGTTATTCAGCGAACCTGCTATGGTCTCTTCTCCAAGCTTAATGTGCTTTCAGCAGTTTAAATTTTTTTTTTTTTTTTTTCCTAAAGCTCTGGGCATGTTTTGGGCTACATCAGTCAATTTCTCAATTTCTCAGTTCCTGCTTATAACTAGCAAGTGTACTATTATTTACACGGACAGCTAGTACTGGAGCAAGCATATGAAGCCCATCTTTTTCAAAGTAAATCTGATACAAGAAGATCAGTTTTGTCTCCTTTTCCAGTGCTAAGTAACAGTGGTCTTTTTATGATGGAAAATGAATTTCTGAAAAAGTGCTAGACTTAGAACTCAGAAATGCAATGTTCAGGCTTCTCGTTTCTTCTTTTCTGCCTATAAATCTAAATAAGTTTTTAACATAAATTAGAGACTCATTCTTTTGTCCTCAATTATCTTCTGTTTTTCTGAGATCTGGTAGTTTGCTGCCTGTTGATTTTCCTCCTCCAAATCTATCAGCAATAAAGACTCCAGAATCTTTTTTGTGGTTGCTTCTGCTCAGCATCCAGGAACTCCTTACTGGCACACTAATGTTTACATTAATTATGCTGACAGAAAGAAAAGAAAAGCAATAGATAGCAAACAGCAACTCTTTCTCCAAACAGGTGGCTCTGCCTTCTCTACTCTTGAGGATACCCATAATGTGAAGTTAAAAGTTTTTCCCTAACGTACTTAGGGAAATACACATCAAGCCCCATTGAGAACACATACAAATCTTCTCTATTTCTCTTCTTGAGAAAAAATAATCTGTGCTTCTATTTTTTTCACAGTCCCAATCTATTATGTGTCAATAGCCCAACTGGAAACAACACTGACCTTTCGCTACCAGGCAACATTCAATAGGTACATATAAAACAGACTCAGGTTCTCCCAAGGCTTTTGAAATATTTTTGCTTTCACACTGATTTGGGTGGTGATTAAATTTCACAGCACAAATGCTGTTATTTCTTTCATCACCTTGTGCTTTAAAAGATTAACTTAATAACCACAGAAGGACTTTGCCAGCACCATGAATAAAAAAAGAAATCATCACATTACTTACTTTGGGTCCACGTGGCCCTCTGTATCCTGTTATCCCAGGTAGTCCTTTTTGGCCCTACGTATACAAGGGAAGTTTTTGTGTATATTAATACACAGGACATGCCTATGTGCTGTTTAACTTTACAACTGTTAAATAGTATTTTCTTAAGCACTGCGCCTGTTTCTCTAGGTGTACTAGGCAGAAGAAGACAAGAAAAACAATTATGTACTGATTTTTATTTCTGTTAACACTGTCAAACCAGCATAATGACTGTGGAGTGGGATAGATGTATCTTTTCCCTTGCAGGGACCTGCTAATTGGGGCTTTGTTCCTGCAAACATGCATGACGGTAGTTCTTTTTTGTTTGCTGCTCTATTTAGTTTGATGCAAGGATTCACATGCATAGATCTACACTTTTGTGCATAGCCCCAGTCTGAATGGGATGCGTGGCTGCCTACATGGTCATGATCATTATCGTGTGTTGCACAGCAGCATATGTCACACTTCGCAGTAACATGGGGTGTTTATGAAAGTTCTTTTGGTCCTTTCCCTCTTCCTTGTACACATGTACATAGCCAACATTTGCATAATCAAAGCCTAAGATCCAATATGTGAAATCTGTCAGTTCCCTGAGTTGAGGCTGCAAGGGCTGGCAATGCCAAATTCACCTTTTTATTTGTGTATTCGAGCAAATCAGACTTGAGGACGTAGAGACTCCAATATAAGGCTCCGTAATGCAATTTTTGTAACTCTGTTCTTTTTAACAAACATTCTAATGTTTTAAGGTACACAACTGTGGCTACAGTAGGCGTGATATTGAAGAAGTACAGTAAATAACAGGAACTTGCATTAAAAATAGACAACAAAATCACACCTAATTTTCCTATTCAAAGAGCACCCTAGAAGGGTTAGGGTTGATAGTTTAAAACATTACATTGGAGAAATCTCAAAGAGAATAATTGCCAAAGATCTGAAAAATAAAAATGTTAGTGAAGAGCCACAAAAGAGATTCAACACCAGAGTAACCAACTTTACCTGAGATGCCTGAAGTATGATTTGCTAATGACAAAAAGTGAAGAAAACCAAAGCAAGGGCAGTATCTCCTTTCTGCATCAAGACAGTCTTCCCTCAATGACATGAGCTAAAGTACACATGGGCTCTCATCTGAAAGCCTGTAGGAAGGGTGCTGAACAACAAGATTTCTGCTGAAGCTGATGGTTTATTACAGAAAGAAAGATTTGTCCTATGCCGTCCTTGCAAAAATTACATCACGGGATTGTACTTGCCAAGTTGAGCACAGTTAAATATGAAGACAAATTAACACCTTTTCTCCTTTGAACAGCTGAGCTCCAGGAGGACCAACTAACAGTGGTGACCCAGGTGGCCCGGGAAGTCCAACATCACCCTGTGGAAGTCAACGGAACAGCAGAGAGACATTCTGTTCCATGCAACGTTTCAGTGAGACTTAGCATGTTTTCCTGTTGTACTACAGCACTACATATTTTTGTACTCATTGAACATGTACTTGTACTAATACCCATAGATAAATAAAGGTTTGTACCGAGATCTGTAAGCCTCTCTACCGTCTTCCCAGATGAGCAAGGTTGATGATCTTAATCCCCCTCCTATTCTCCTCAGTCATTAAAAATAATGTTATGGCTAAGCAAAAGAATGAGAACTCTGTACTCATGGCTCCTGCTCCAAGTCTGCTTGGAGATGGTTACAGGATTGTCAAATCTCTTGTGTATACATACAGTCTCTCATGTTCCAGACCAAAGCCTTTGAGCACAAGGCTTTGTGAATGTAAAGATGAAATTATTGATTTGCTATGGAAAGTTGTGCATGTTAGAAACTTACACGAATTCTAAGAAGTGACTGGACAAATCATAGAAGAAAAATCAAATATTCCACATTGGTTCTGTAAGTCCTGAGTACACTAATAGGTGGAGACTGGGAAAGGAACTATCATTATGTGCTTGTCCTTTTCTTACACCCTTTCCTTGGCATGTGTTGCTGGACATACCAAGAGATGAGATTCAGTGACTGATCTGGTACAGCCGCTGTTATTGCAGAGTACTGTTGTGATTATTTAGGTAGTGTCTGTACAGAAAGTAATTGTTATGTAAATGCTAACTAACATATTGATTGTTGCTTTTCAAAACCTCCAGAATACGCTTGATTCCTGTATGCAGCTCACTGAAGTAATCACTTCTGCATGGAATTAATTCAGTAACTTATATTACTTCTCCTTCCTTCTAACACGATTAGTGGGAGCACACAGACACAAATGAATGGGTTCCAGGGAACCCAACAAGACTCTATTATAGTTCTAATTCTACAGCAATAATATATTTAATAATATTTGATTTCTTTAATAATATTTGTTTTCTTACCAGCTCCCCCTTTTGTCCTTCCACTCCAATACCTGGATTTCCCTAATTGACAAAAAATGTGCACAGTTTGAAGATAATCAGAAAATGCTGACATTAGAATTTAATCAAGTAACTCCTTTGAAAAACTTGGTAACAAATAACCATAAGGGACATTTCAAATATTTGTATAAATTAATCTACTATTTCACTAACAACTTCAGGAAAAGTCATTGCCTACCTGTTCACCTGGCAAACCAGGGTAACCTGGAATACCCTTTAAAAGAGAATGAAGACAAGTTAGTATGTCTGGTTTAGAGACAGCTTTGCTTTGAAAATTACCTCCTCTTGCCAGTAGCACCTAGAGGCAGAATTTCCTCTTGGGATGTACCTATCCCAAAGTGCAATTTACTTCATCTGGTCACTGCTTTCAAGAGGGCTGAACTCTGGCTTCCCACTTTCCTGTCTCCCACAAGGTGGCCTTGGGGAAAGGGAATAAGGAGAGAGCACTAGCAGCATTCCTCCATGACCACAGACTGCCAGGATGAAACATGTTTGCGCAGGCATGGGAAGGAACAACATATGCTCCAATTCCTGAACTTCCAAACTCATAAGGTAAGGCAAAAATCTCTCTTTTTATCATCTGCCTCAAAAATTATTTCCAGGCTTTGATTCATATTAAGGCAAGTTCTAAAATTGGTAGACCAGAATTTATGCATATCCTGAAAATGCAAGGCTGTATAACTGTGGTGATCTTACAGGCAAGCCTGGTTGGCCTGGGTATCCAGATGGGCCCGTTGTACCTCTTGACCCTCTAGGTCCCTGGAAAAGATGGCAAAAGGTCTGTTTGTGAAAACACCAAGAGCTTACCCTTTTCTACACAAAACTAGTCCCTCCAAAATGCCTGCATCTCTTGGGCTCAGTCTGCTGGCCACTGCATTCCACCCATGGCCTGAAGCTTATACCATGCCTGTCACTAGAGCAGCTCAGCACTAGTTTCTGGGTAATACTGTACAGATACTGGACAATGCACAGTTATATGTTATTAATGGATTGTAAGAATACTTTGTCGGTATTTGTGCTACAGTGTGGGCACTTGATACAGTGAATACTTTTTTGAAGGGCGTAAGAAGAGGAAGCCAAAGCCATTAAGAGTGTAAGTCAGCAACAAAATTAAACTCTCTTCTTCTCACATGTTTTTATGGCCAAAATATGGTAGCGTGCTACATGTTCTTAGGAGATCCACCAGATACTGTGAAGAAGGTGTCACATCTCTACACATCTTGAATTTCACAGAGAAAATATTCTGCAAACTGTGAGTACCAGGGCGACAACTGCTCAATCCACAGCTAAAGTAGATAGGTATGGTCTGTTTCTGCTCCTTTTGAGCCAGCATGAACTGGTCATGGGGGCAGACTACAGGGACTCGATGTTTGTTAGAGTTTACTCTGGAATTTTGCTATTTAAGGCAGGCAGGGAGAAACCCCAATATTTCTTTACTGTACTAAGAAGGAAAATTTGAAAGATCTTCAAGACAAAAAGCATGTATAAACCCAATGACTGTACTTACAGGCATGCCAGGGGGTCCAGGATCACCTCTGTCTCCCTGTAATGACAAGCATTTAGCAAACGAATCATTACAAGCTTTGTTATGAGTATTTTCTAACTTTATAGCTATTAAGATCACAAGCTATCTGTTCCAGTTGTATATTTGCTTTTAATCTTTTTTTGCACAAAGCTTTATTAAACAGTGAGGAGTTACGAGAACAATTACATTTGCCATACATGTTTTCCTACAAGATATGATTTTTTCACAATCAGATACTTACTGGAGGTCCTCTTCCAAAATATGAAACATACACTGAATTTCCTTTTTCTCCTTTTTGCCCTGCATTTCCCTTTAAAGAAAAAAAGTCTTTTAAAACATGATCCACTTACTGATATCCTACATTTCTACGGAGACTGAATGATAATTTCTCAGGCTGTGCTTTTCTGGTGCCCATACATCACTAAGTAATCCACTAGAATGACCATCACTGCATGAGCATTTTGCAGTTCTTTTCTTTAACAAGACCCTTAAAAGTAAAATTGTCTTCTGTACAGTTAAGCAAAACAGCTCCTCGCAGCTTCTGGACTCCTGCTCTGTTAGATGCTCCTTAGCTCTTGGGTATTTCAATATTCTACAATCTTCAGAAATCTTGCCTTTAGTATCAAGTATATCAATATGCCTACGTTTTCTTCCAGTAACTCAGTGGCTTTAAGTATTAGCACTCTGCCTTCTCCAAAAGTTCATGCTGTGATTTCGAAGAATCTAGTGTGATTCTGCATGCAGTTAAAAAGCTGAAAGTATGGACTGTGTTACAAGCATAATCTTCAACATTTCCATCTATTAGAAAATATGTCTCACAGTCTATAAAAAAAAAAAAATCTGATGCCTAAAGGCCCTGTTTTTTTAAAAACTAAGTTACCATGGTACTTGCTGTGGAGTCCGTTATAAAACTTTGCAATCTTAGCACCCTCAAAAACCTCAATCTGACTTAGCAGGAACAGATGATTGCTTTTGCAAAATTTAATTGTAATGCTCGATTGACTGTTAAGAGCATGACATGTACATATCTGAAGAACAGATATTAAGACATTATTTCTGAAGTTTTCTCATTTAAAATCCAAATGCACTGGATATAATTTAACTAAGTTAACCACTTAACTACTGTATCCAATAAAATGGGATAGTTTTTCATAGAATTTAACCACTTTAAAACTGTACTGGTTTCCTGATATTATACACTGGCTGCTGAAATTGCGAAGTCAGAATGAAACAGGGAAAGTACTTATTCCTGGAATGGTACAATAAAAAGAAGAGTTACAGCTGTCTGCAGCTGGATATAGCTACAGTAGACTGGATGCAGATTACAGGTCAAACAACAGCTGCTAGGGAACACATTAAATACATCAAAAGTTATATTTGTCTTTGGTTATTTTACATGTGATCTCTTGTGTAATAAAACATATTTATTAGATTCAGTTTGTTACCTTCTACATGACTTAGGTAAGGGCTTACAAATAGAAACTACTTTCTTTTCCAATTTATTGGTGAGGTAAATGATTCTACAACGTAAGAGAAGTAAAGCTGCTGAATATGTACATAGTGTTAAATAAAATTATATGGGACAACGTTATAAGTAAGAATAACATAAAAACATTAGCTGTAATACATAGTCAAGTTGGTACTTGGTGCAACAAATTGATTTAAAAATAGGCAATCTGCATAGAGAGGTTGGAATAGCATTCTTGTACACAAGCAAATATGGTTACTATGTCTTGTTTTTCTGGGTAGCTAAATTAATTTGCACTGGAATTTTAGTGTGCATATCCAAGGCTACATGCCTATTGTCTCCCATTCTTTGTAGGTTGCAAATACGTTTCTAGGCCTGCCAAAGAGCATGCTCCTGGAATTGGGAGGATTTATGCTGTAATTTGTCCCATGTCTCATTTTTTCTCTATGTTATTTGGCTAATTATAAAAGGCAAAACTCTATTTTGAAAGCCATAATAAGTAAGAAAATACAGGTAAAATTAGAGTTTGAGCAGAAGTCATTTTACCATCTGGAGGGTTAATGGGTAACTTTGAGAGGTATAACAAATGAGGTTATTATCAAGTTTTTTATCAGGCTGTGTATTTCATAGCATTTATTACAGGTCCAAGACTGAAATTGTATGTTTTTTCTAATTGCTGTATTTTTTATAACATCTTTTCATTTGGGCACCCACTGCACGTTTTTTGATTCCCTGTAGCTGAATCAGCATCTTATTTAGCTCCTACTAAACATATTTGACTTTTCATGTAAATTGCAGTTGTTTTTATTGTTTTATTTAGAAAATTTCAGGAAAGCTCTTAGACCAACTAATCAGCTATTAATCATTCAGAACTAAAACTTGTTTCCATGAAAAGTCAAAGACTAGGGACTAGATCTGTTCAGCAAAATTTCTTTGGAGCTACAGTAATTCATATCCCTTACTGACATGAATCTGTGTTTTATCTTCATTAGAAGAGCATTGCTAACACAACTATTTAAACAATTTTAAAATGCCTTCCATTTTAACAGCAAAACTAAACAATATTAAAGTGCTAATTTTAAACATTTTAACTAAAATGATCTCTATGTATACAGATAAACACCGAGCCAAGATTAAGTGTGCACAGAGCAGTTATGAATAGGTATGTGTAAAAAGTGGCACATGAAACTCTAAGAGCATGATTTTGGAAGAGATCTACTAATACACTTGTGTGATCAACCACTAAAAATCTTCAAGTGTTACAGGACTTAGATTTGTTGAAGCTTCCACTTATTGCTAATTCATCTCAGGTATGTCCTTACTATTAAGGCTTTTAAGAAATTTCAGGTATTGATAAATGGTATGATGGTTTCAAGCTACTCCTTCTCAGTTGTACTTCCATGAAATGGTACTAGCTTTGGTGTGGTTACGTACTGGAGAAACAAAACAGAATTTAACTCTCAAGGTAGTCATATATACTTTAAGGATATAGAAACTTATTTCACATTCAAGATTAAACTTAATCTGTTAAGGCATCAAGTGTCCTTCACTCCCATTAACCTTAGTAAGAATGCCTGGAAATTCATTGTGGAGTGTAAAGCTAGTGCCATAGTCTAAAACTCCTTTCATTTTAAGAGCTGTTAGCTTGGGGGGGAAATGTACCCATACAGTAGGAATGCCTTTCACATACATAAGGACCTCTTGGTCCAATATAACCATTTTCGCCTGGAAATCCTGGATCTCCTCTTGAGCCATTGCAGCCATCTAAACCACGTTTGCCCCTGGGTCCTTCACTTCCTGGTAATCCCTGAAAGACAGTTTAATATTTATTAGAGATACACCATGATAAATTGGGAATTACTTTTTAAATTAACAGCACATCTCATAGTGGTCCCAGCTTCATACTCTTTGCATTAGGAATGTTTTCTTTTGTGATCAATAGAATTTTTTTCAAGTATAACAAATGATATAAATATTTTATATCTTGTTCTTTGATGCATAGCAAATATAACAGGGACAACACTGGTTAAGAGGGCCAGACTGAGCTCTCACTTCAGTCAAAAAGTAATGTGCTATCTTCTCAGAGAAAGCTCTAGCACTCCAACTATAATCTTTCTTGTGGCTGTAAAGAAAAGCTGAAGAAATACACAAAAGTCATCTCAAGCAGCCTAGTATTTTTTAATTGATAGGATAAAACAAGGAAAAACAGGACACAGCTTGACTCAAGCATACAGTAATCGCAGAGATTATGACTATACATTCAAGAATTGAGGAAGTGATTTTCTAACCTAGCAAGAACTAACCAATGTCCAGATAGGGGATAGTTCTACTGCAAATTAGACATTAGGCAATAGAAACAGTGAGATTTCCCTTGGAATGATCTTTCCATAGGAGGAAAAATTATTTTCACAGAATTAAATATTTTTGTAAGGAACAAACAGTAATTTTGACCGCCGATTTTTTTTTTTGGAGGGTTCTGAAAAATCATCAGGAACGTATCCTGGCTCTTTGCCTGAAATATTTTTGTCAGTTTTACCTCCTTCCTATCTTTAAGGTTCTTCATCCCAATTTGTGGATGCTGTTTTTTAATTAACATTTTTCATAGAAAGAATATACATTCTTGGGAGTGCTTCTTTTTTGTGCTAAATTTTGGCCTTGTGACCTCTACATTATACAGACATTCTGGCAACAGTCCCATTGTCAAGTGTGGACAGCTGACAAGCAGATGCTAAGGCACCCCCTCAGTTTCTGGTTCTGTTTTCACTTTCAAAATCCCACATTTTAACTTTGTTTCATCCATATGAAACTAATAACAGCATAGGAATTCAGTTCTAATAAACTATTTTTCAGGTACTGTATCTAAGAGATATCATCTTTCTTTTACGACACTCATTTCCACACTGAAGAAGACATTCAGAAAAATATATAATCACATGCTTATAAAGATATATTTAGGACCCACTTTCCTTCTTCAGTCCCTATTTAGGTTAAAATTACTGGACTTAGTGGTTGCTTTTTTTTCCTGCAAAAGGACTACAAGCAAAAATCAGAATATTTGAACAGAAACCAGTACATCATTTGAGATACTTTCAGAGATGTTAAAAATGCAGCAAGCAGACTATAGCCTGCTGTAGAGCCTGAGGAAAATAAACTCATTGTTTTTAATCCTAGCACTGACACATGCTGCATGGACATGGGCTAGTCTCCACCTTCACTGCCCCACTCCTGCATGAAAATCATGTACTTACCTCATTGGGATTTTGTGGAATTTGTTATCAATAATAAACACAGTTGAAGTTAACCTGGCTATTCCACATTTTTGCAAAACATGTAAGTCTGTAGATGACATGATATCAATAGGTATAAAGCCAAACAATTTATTGAGTGTATTACTCTATTAGAGGACTCGCTATGACTTTATAGAAACTGTAATTTTTATAAAGCAATATTCATGCAATACGTACAGGAACACCATCTAAACCAGGAAATCCTGGGACTCCAGTTGGGCCCTAAAAACAGGTGACATGAAAAAACAAAGTTGCTGAGGTCATTAACTCTCAAAAAGAATGAAAAACAAGAATATGTGATACTATGTAGCAAGAAACAAGAATCAGTCTTGTTTGAAATATGAATGAAAAGCCGTAATTGTCAGAAATAAATAACTGAAAAAAGTTATATGGGCTTGGCAGGAGACTAGTGCCAATAGCTACCCATGTAACAGATGGTACAGTACAGGACAAATGTCTAACTCTCATATTCATTCTCCAAAGATTATAAAATGACAGAAAAGAGGAAGTTGCCTATAACTTACAAAATAATTCTGTATGTAATTTCACAACCCTACTCCTGTTTTGATAACATCAGCAGCACAATTTCTATTTACAGCACTTACATTTCAGGTGTGCTAGATACTGACATTAGTGATTTCAGTCATCCACCGAGATCAGTGGAATTAGACCATTAAAACTAATATAAAGTACCAAGAGCCAAGCACAGGGATTGTACAGCTATGAAAGATATGGACCTGAACTGCAATTTATATTCCATAAGTGGTAATAAAATTCTGTGTAGTGTACAGCACTTTTAAAGGCACCATATTCCTCCCTCCAGCTCCACATTCCTCCCACAGCCCTTTTCGAGGTTAAGGAGGATGACATGGTATATAACAATCAGAGACTGGGTCTGTTTCATTTTATTTTGTCTTCTGAAAATTGTACTTTTGCAATCCACAGCAAAAATCCCCTGAAACATTTTTTCAAGAAAGCTGTAATTAAATTCAGTGAGAATTTTGTGTGAGCAAGAGTATAGTTTGGCAAAGGCTTTTTGATCATTCAGGTTCTGTTTCCCTTGCCAATATTTAACATTACGTACTGTATACACCTAAAAGAGCTGTCTATGGTGTTTCCTACCTTATCACCTTTTTCTCCAGCTGGCCCAGGCTGCCCATTCTCACCTCTCTGTCCTTTTTCCCCTGGCAGACCAGCTGGTCCTGTAGATCCCAAGGACCCAATTGGACCTTGAGCTCCCAGCTCACCAGGCTGACCCTGAAAAAAGAAGTGAATGACTACTGCTGTACACCTCGCAGCAGGAAGCATTTTGGAGATGACTGTATGGATAAAACAAGGCTTACAATGTATTCATACTCATGATTCAAAATAGCTTGCTGTACAGCCTGTAGATCTGTTCCACGCATTACATGCTACAGGAACACGACCTTCAAATTTAACAACTTGCTCAAGGTGATAATTTCTTTTCACCTTCGTCAGGTCTCCAGTACCACCCCTCTGAGATGCCTGGGATAAATTGCAAGTCTTCCTGGCTCTACCAATGTAAGTATCACCTTCTGCACACGTAAGACTCCACTGAGCATCGTATTTTTGCCACCAGAGAAGTGATGGCTTATTTTAGACAAAGAGAATTTGTACATAATTAGAACACATTGAGAGAGTTCTCTCTTTCTTTTAAGTCACACTATATGCTAATTATCTTAAATTTTTCTAGCTTACATATTTTCCATCATCACCCGCAGATTTTAATGGCTTATTTAAAAGTTGTGAAGTTTCCTGCAGAAAAAAATGATAGTTATTAGCCAACATATTTACAGAAAGTATCAATTTTAATAGATTGTGTTAAAATGGTTTTTGGAGGTTGCAGAGTGTCATTTATCTATAAATAGCTCTAAATTGAGTATCTGTATCTACAGTGTCATACAGACCATCTCCATGGATTTCTGCTAACTTTTACTTCTCCTGAACTAAAAATACTTTCCATGCCAACTGGATTTTTCAGTCTATAGCATTGGTGTGGAGTTGTTTTGGATTTGTTGCAGATTTTTCTGTGCTGCTAAACAACTACTAAATAATAGATTCAAAGCGCTGAATAAAGCAAGCTTTCTAATCAGACTTCACATGTGAGCTGTCTACACTTTCACCCTACAAAATCTATGTATTTATAGGTCTTTATTTCTCTTACTCATCTTTTTCATTCTGTATCATTATCTTTGCCTAGCTATAACTAGTTTTGTTTCCCAACTGAAGAGTGTTTTGCTTTCTTTTCAGAATTCATCAATCAATTATACCACATTACTAAAAAAGAGAGCAAAATGGAGCCCTATGCATTCCCGAGAAAAGCGTATGGCTCTAAGACCACTTGAGGGCAGTAAAGGATATTTCACTACAACCTCCGTTCACAGAAATAACAGACTATACGCTTATTTCTATGAATGGATTGAAGGAAAACAAAATGACAGAAATCAAAGGTGATTGTAAGCAGATATGTTAGCTTCAGGAGTCAAATTATGTTGAAGCAACAGAACTGAATTGCTTGCTTCTCAGTGTAAACATTTCAACAGACTGAATCTGTCCAAACAAAATCTTATCTTGTGAATTGTAAACAGGGACCTAAACCTCTTTTTATTTATTCTCTATTTGCCTTTTAAAATATGTCAATAAAATCAGTGTGATTTGACAGTTGGACATGAAGTGAAGAAATGTATGGTATGCATCATCCAATCAAATCAGCAAAGAAACAGAGTAATGAGAAGGTAACTTTCTACATGCTTGGAACAGGAACATACCATAGGCTTATGCTGTACCGGAAGCAGGACTGTATCACCACCGGCCCTGAAGCTCTGAACAGGAATTTAGTCCAGAGGCTGGGAAAATAAGTCCTACACTTACAAATAAGGACTACCTGAAAAAGTATCCTCATACAACTCATGTTCCATTTGTCTTTACTAGCTCCTCCCACTTAAACCTTGATCCTGCTTCCAGTGAAGTCACTGGCAAAAATTCCAGGGCAGAATCAGCATGTCTTCAGCAACAGTTACAATTTTCTTTATACCATAATTCGAGCAGTGTAAAATATTATGCAAATTAAGGGCTACTAGTATTAAAATCTGCTGCTTCTGCATCCTTGTTAACAATGAATGGACAGTCAGGATTCTGGTTGTTTAATTTGAGTATTTGCTTGCATGAACAATTGCAGCCTCTCTATTGGCAGTGCCTTGCACATCCTCTGTTGTAAAACTGAATTTATTCATTGAAGTACTCTTAAAGCAGCTATTACACCCTTTAAATACTTGATAAAAAAAAAAGACTGGACAACCATTTTCATTAAAGCATAATTCTGAGTATAAGAAAAGTGAAATAAATGAGACTAATAATATAGTAAAATACAACTGTTTGAACCATTCACTCTACGGAAAGCGGTAAGTTTTTTTTAGTACACTGAACTAGCTGTTACCATGCAAAAAGCAACATTCATCAGCAGGTAAAAAAACACATAAGATATTTCTCACTAATGCTCTAATGCCTTTGTCTTAACAATGCATTTTGTTGACAACAAGTTTCTGCAGCAACTTTAATAGTTTTAATTTATAGTGTATATGCTCTGCATTCAAGAGTTGAAAAAGAAAATTTTTAAATCATGTTATATCCTTTGGACAGTTGAAGAAACATGATTTTGATAGTACTCAGAAAAAAGCTGAGACACAGTATGAATTCTGTGGTAATTATCCATCATAATTAACCAATAAACACTTCCAGGACATGTAGTCCTTTAGGGCGGTAAAATGTCTTTGTTAGTTGCTACCCTGTGAATTTAATTGACTCCAGGGTTTATGTCTTCAGTAGGAGGTAGTGAAGTCATAAAATAGAGTCACTGAATCCAGAATTCACAATAGGTTTGACAGCTGATACAACTTTAGCATGCCATGTGAAGCTGGTGGATTGTCTCTCTTTCTTTCGGCTCAAAGACTGATAATGACTGGGAGCTTTGTTAAGACCAAACTGATACCATGTCATAACATCTATTATCACATCTATTATTTGTGCCCATCCAATGTGACTACCACAGCATTACAGTCTCAGGACAGCTGTACAAATAAAGAGGATGAAGGTAGTCATGCTCATGTGGAAATGACAAATTAGCTCAGTTAAAATGAACAGAATATTATGCCTGCTCTGCCATCTGATGCCAATAAATTCCTTTAGGATTTCAATGCCTTGTTAATTGTCTAGGTCAGGAACTACCCATGCCAAGACTATGGTCTTGTTATTTTAACATATCTTGGGCTTGACCTGCAGTAAGAAACTGACTTTTGACAAAACAAGACTATATTTTTTTAATTAAGTATGCTTCCTAAGACTAAGACTGCAAAGACTTCAGAATCATGCAGCAAAGTGTTTGATACCGTCTGGAAAAGGCAATGGCCAAGGTTATTTGGAATTACTTTTTTTGGTTGCCTGAGACACCAAAGAGCACCTGATTTTTAGAGTGCCCTGAGAACTTAATTGTCTGAAAGCACAATGTTTTAATAGAGTCTTAATTGGAAATAAAAAAAACTGGTTCATGCTATTAGAGTGAATTCTGTCTTGCTTCTCATTATCAATGAAGTCAAAAGAAGTCCAGCCTTCAATTAGGACAGTTACAGGCTATGTGGATGTACCAGTGATATGTGAAATGCATTTACCTTCTGTTCATGTGAACAAAAATGAAAATGCCCCGCAACTCCACAGGAACAGATTGTAGGCAAATAACATAGTGCTCTTTTTCATTCTGCACTAGACTCTAGCTTGTAACCAGTCTTTCTCATTTTACCAGGAGCAGGGAAAGGGAGGAAAGTAGAGCAGTTCAGGGGCAAGAGAGGAGTGCACACAAAGGCATTGGCAGACAGATGTTTTCTTTTGTAATTTGCTTAGTGAGGTGGGAGCATCTGCTGCTACTCTAAGTGCCGCCCATGTCCTCTCCACTTTTGGAAGAGCAGGTCTATTACACAGCAAAGCCACAGCTTCCAGGGCTTGTAGAGGTGTCCATTCTGGGAAGTTTCCACTCCTACACTGTAACTGTGTAAGAGTGGGACCAAAACCATTTTCGCTGTAAGTCAAGGCTCCAAAATAAACCTTCTAGATATTAACTTTATCAAGATGAGATAAATCTGAGAAAGCACTTGGCATTAAATCTACTCTCGTGTCCTTAATAGAGCACATTTTTCTGTGACTGTGGGCTAAACAGTGAGTTAGGGTCAGACTAGTATATGTCATGTGCTTTATTCTCAGTTTGTTCAGAAACAGCAGATCGCATAATGACTTTTCAGTATTAGATAACTTTTTTATAGTCAGATTTTGAGCTGATTAAATGCAATAGTAACTCTTAGTGCTTGACTTTTCTCAGCATCTGGATCATGCTGCAAACTACTGGAAAATTCTGTGCTCTTTTATCACATTTTTCTATGATCCATATGCTACAGGAACATAGCACCTGATGATGCAGCTTAGTATTCACAGTGATACTTCACTGAAGCACAACAAATCACAGTGAAGTGCTGAAAGCATTTTTCATGGTGTATTTTGTTTTGTGTTTTAACCATGTGGAACCATGAAAAGAAAAAGTATCCAATAAGCCAGTGGGTGTCACTATTGTGTTAAACAAACACTGAGCAAGAGAGAATTTGGCACTGAAACTCCAAGAAACACTGTTAATGGTTGAAAGCAGAAAGCTGCAAATAGAGCATTTTAGACAGCAAATAATTAACATCAGACTAGCTAATAAAATAAAATTAACTTTTGCTCTGATTCATTTTATTGAAACAAGTCACTGATTGGCAATTTTTGGTTGATTCAAATCTATGAAAAAGAATGATTTTGTAGAGTTTTGTCTTGCCAATCTGCAGCAACTGAGAAAAACACTATTTTTAGTATGGTGGGACAGGGGAACCAAAAGTATTAAGAAAAGAAAGATGCTCAAGAACAAAAGGAGGGATAATTTAACAAGATCAAAACTTTTGAAAAATTTGGAAATGTCTAATATGAAAAATGCTAATTTACAGATGCTGTAGCTGGACATTGTATATGAAGAACAGCCTCAAAGAGACCTTACAGTGAGGAGAATGGAGTGATCCTGTTCCTATTGCACATTCTGGTAAGCAGGCTCCATTCCCTACCAGTTCAAATACTAACTTCTGGAGCCAGAGAACTGCCTACTGCTCTGCCCAGTTATAAAAAAATGTGTGGTCTGCTTCAGATATAGATTTAGGGGTCTCATTTCTCTAGGTCTGCTTTTCTATGGTTCTCAGCAAATGTAAGTGAAATGCAATAGAAATACTACAGAAATGTATAATTGGTCTCAGGAATCTTCTATTTTAAAACTTCATCATAGCTAATCTACTGGGAAGAATGATCAAGAAGTATGAGGCAAATAGTGGGAGAGATCTGGGTTTCCTCAGATGCTAGTGTGCATATATCTCTGATAGTGGATTCAACTAAGCATATGTATTTGAGATCAAATACATGGATTTTACATATTCATTTCCTGAGTGTGCAGCTTGAAAATTCAAATACAGGTGCTGGATATTCCCTGTGAATGACAGACTGCCATTGCATGCTAACATGCAAAAAAG